GCCGGCGCCCCTCGCGCTGCTGGGAGGGTCCTGCTGGAGTCGCAGTATGGCCGGCTGCTCGCCCGGGTACGGGCAGGGGGAAGCAGCTCTTTTACTTTCTGATTGAAAGCGTGCTGTTGCTGCGCCGCCGTTCTTGAAAATGTCCCCATCAAAACTAACTCCGTGTGACTGTAACTGTATGTCTGGGGCTATATGGTGCAAGTAAGACAGTAGGTAATGACATGAAGACGCTTGCAGGTTAGTTAGGTTAACTTCTGGTCGCTGTCATAAAAAGGGCCTAGGAACACAGAGGAAAAGAGCAGTCCTCAAAAGCTGGTTCAAAGTCGGAAAAAATTTTTGAGCTCTTTCAGGTGAAAGGAAGCTGATGTTTTGACTTCCCGGCACCTAAGGGCCAAAAGCATGCTGTGTTTCATTAGAGCCTTTCTGGTACGGGGACTGTATCAGGTGTGAAGAGGACTGTGGTTAAGGAGAGCTCAACAACGGGAGAAGGGCTAGATTATCGCTAAAAACTTTTCTTTTTTGAGGCCAGGAATATGTAGGCCAAAATGATGCCGCTTTCCTTCTGATGTAGCTATGCTAAATTTACCTGACCCCTTCTTTTTTCCCTCTCCATTAGAAGTGTGGAGATTTAGCCCCAGGTGTGTGAAGCGTTTTCTAAAAGGAACCTTGAAACAGTAGATGCAAAAGTCAGTCAGGTCTAAAGACCTTCACGATACATTTTTGAAGCTGGCTGTTTTGCAAGGCTGGTTTGTTTAGAAAAACTACCTCCACACGAGATCTTACCACTATATTTCGTTGTAATGTACAAAGGAACCTTTTGATTCTGACAGCGCCAAGCTATTTTTGATCTGGTTAGTAACACTGTATGAGTCAAGTTTCGTACAGAACAAAAAGACACTCTTTGCTTCAAGCTATAATTTGATTCTAGCCAAGGTTGGAGAAAGACTTGCATTTTAATATAGAAGGGAAGAATGTTCATTGTATGCAAATATTAAGATACCAACTCCTGTGGGGGTTGGGTTGTTTCTTTCCTTCTTCTAATGTAGCAATTTCTGATGGCTAACAAGTTGGATACAGCAATGTGGATTTCCCGCTTGTTCACAGTTTACTGCTCAGCTTTGTTTGTCCTGCCTCTTCTAGGGTATGTATTGCAATATTGTAAAATAGCATTAAAAATTTACAAAGTAACTACACTCCCTTTTCATAGAGTTGTTTTTCATGTAAGGGTAGATTTCTATTATTCAGCTTATTTGGATGCTTTTTGTCAGAACAGATTTTAGATTGGTTTAAGACGCTTTTAGGTGTGTTTGGAAAATGCATTGAGCAACTGTAAAGTAGTGGCAAACGCATGTTTTTATGTGTAGTTATGGAGTAATTATTGAGTTGTTATACCTTTGGCACCTGCAGTAAGTCAGTGTTACTAGTTTTTGAGTTGTAGTTTGGTAATAGCGCTTATGGATAATAGAAATACTTCAGGTATTGTGCAATTGTGATGCAATTCTCAAGGGTGGAAGACTTCTGAGCAGGGGCTTGGTTCATATGGTAACGTTTCCTCCGATGATTTGCAGGTTGCATGAAGCAGCAAGCTTTTATCAGCGTGCCTTGCTGGCAAATGCTCTTACTAGTGCCCTCCGACTACACCAAAGGCTACCGCACTTTCAGCTTAGCAGGGCGTTTCTGGCCCAGGCTTTGCTGGAGGACAGCTGCCACTACCTGTTGTACTCTCTTATCTTTGTGAATTCCTACCCTGTTACAAGTATCCTTTACTTGTGTCATCCTGGTAATGTTTTTAAATATCCTAAAACTTGATTCTTTTCATCACCTGTGCCATGATTTGAAAAACTAGTTTAAACTAGAATACGTTTGCTATTCATAGAACGTACTCCCTGTAAAATAGGAGAGGCTTATGTTGATTGATCCACATTCAGGTTAACCACCTCTAGAACTAGTCTCTGGCTAATTAAATTTTCTTTTTCTGAGACTTAATTTCAATGGATTTTATGACCAGCCTCAGTTACCAACTTTGAGAAGTTGGTAACTTTCATTTATTACCAGTACAGGTCCTCACTGTAAGTAGGACATATATCATGTAGGGAGACAATTATTCAGTAGTAGCTTTTTCAGATAAGTTATTAAACAGATAAAGTCTGCATGCAAAATAGACTTACTCCTGTGGCTTGTCAAAGGTGACATATAAGAACTGGCTTTTCTTGGTGCCGCTTTGTATGTATGGTTAATGTCCTACTCTTAGACATTCCTCTGCTAGAGACATTTTATGTTCTTGTTCTCTAAAATCTGAATGGCTGGCAACTGCATGTTCTTTGGTGAAGAAATGCATTTTGTAGCATCTCTTAAAAAATACTACGACTACATGTATATGATAGATTTTAAGAAGTAATCTCACGTGTCTTGCATGCAGAAAGAGTGTGTACTCTACACACTAGTGTGTAATGGTGTATGCTGTACTTTTGCCTACCTGCATACACACACATTTTGAAGTTAATAAAAATGCATAGCGAAGAGAATGTGTAAGAAACAAAGGGAAGAGCTATAAATATAGTTGTTAGACATATACAAGTCTTAATCCAGTGTAGGTCATTCCAGTCAACCTCTTGCAAAGAGCCATCAGGCTGTGACTTGTGTGTTAGCATAACATCATGGAGAAATGAAGCACTTCTGCAGCCTATAATTTTCCTTATCGCTTGCTTCAGTGAGTATTTTTCCAGTTCTGCTGTTCTCTTTGCTTCATGCTGCCACGTATACAAAGAAGGTTCTTGATGTAAGTATGATACGGTTAATACTGTTGGTATTCTTGGGGTTTATAAACAGGTTTGAGTTGCAGCTATAGTTTCCTTTAGCTACACTGGAGGAGTTAGAGTGAAATTGTAGTATGGAATCTCAGCACAGAGAATCCGAGAGAAGCTAATCTTCTGTTACGACTTAATGATATGTTGGAGTTGACACTAATTATTTTTCTTCAAATGCTGTTCTTTAAAGGAAGCAAGTGCTGTGTAACAGTTAAGTTGAAACTTAAGACATGTCTTTTCAAGCTAAACCATAGCCTGTGAAATTTAATGTTCTATTTCAGTAGTAAAATAACAAACTGCAGGGTGAGGCTAGGAAGCAAAATACTTGCAAGTTGGACCTGCTGCTCAATGAACTGCCTTGTGCAGCTTGATGTAACTCCAACCTTTGGTGTTCCTAACTAGGCTATCTTGCTACCATAAGTACTTCCTCCTAGTGGACAGGATAAGGCTCGTGGCCATTTCTATGCAGTTAAACCTAAAATGGGTGGGTGAGGGAATTGCAACACCTCATGTTTTTAATTGAACTGTATGGAGTTCCAAGCTTCTGCTAGTTTTCTTTGGGATACTAATCTCGGTACCTTTAAAGGATCTAGTCTTAAAATGCTGAAATGAGTTGTAAATGATAACTGTTAGTATTTTGATTTCTTTGTGCTAGAGAAGATAGGTGTAACTTGTGTGTTTTCTGGCAATCTTTTTTTCTTATTTAAAGGCACGAAGTTCAAATAGTCTGCCCTTTCTGAGAAATCTTTTAGAGAAACTGAATGCTAATCAACAGAATATTCTAAAATTCATTGCTTGCAATGAAATTTTCCTGATGCCAGCTACAGTTTTTATGCTCTTCAGGTAAGAATTACCATAAATACTTTCAGAATTAGAAACTTTCTACACAAGATTATTTTTTGCAGTTGAGTTCTCTGTGGGTCACAGATCTCCGTTTGTATGATTCTGGCTGACCAAGGCTTGAACTTAGAGTTAAATTTATTTGATTCCTAGACTTCTTAAGTTGATGCATCATGAAGTCAAAAACCATTTACTCTCATATAACTGTGCACCAAAAAACCCTTCCCTTTCATAGCACGGGTGACATTGTTGGGTCAAATCAAAGTTTTTCAGGCCTGTAACTTGCTTTCTCCTACATTGTTCATTAAGGTTTTATTTGGTCAGTGTAATAGAATGTTAAGATCTTCAGCTTCACTGAAAGCGAACTCTTATTTTTGGCTATTAGATTCCAGAAATTTAAGTGGCATGAAATTTCATTGTGCTGAAAGTGTGCGAGCAGGAGTAGGTTATGTCCTCTCCTGTGTTACTTCTGACCAGTGACCCATGTCTCTTTTTTATGATTCCATTTGGTTTTGCCTGCTGTGCAGCCTGTTGAATTCATTTTGGGGATCTTGAGCATATGCACGTTGGAATCCTGCTGAAGTCATATAGGCATAACGACCTGCCAGTCACTGAAGTTTGGGTCATTGCCTTTTAATATTTGAAGGGGGAATAACGCCCTTTGTTCTATACAAGTCATAGCACAGTGAGAGCATTTGTCCCGAGTGGTCTTACAGGCAGCAGAAGGGAGGCTTTATCTTCTTGGAAGTTGATAGAATGCATAATTTGTCTTTATCTTCTGATATGTCAGCTGAACACTTCAATCCTTCAGCCCTGAAGGATTCCATTTCATTTAAGGCCATTTACCAACCGACAGATACACTCTGTAGTCAGTATCTGAAACATTCAAGTGCTTTAAACTTCTCTTTAGGAGAACCCCCCCCCCCCGGAGAATTTAGTACATGAAGTGTTGCTACTTGATAAGTCATCTAGTAGATACTGATGCTTGTGAAAGATCAAATATTTTAAATAGTATAATGGTTAAATGCAGCTATTGTGAGAATTTGTTCTTTAAACTGTTTTAGCATATTAAATTACTTGTAAATACGGTACAGGTGCAAGATTTCTTCTTCCCCCTCCTGTAGCTCACTTTCCTTTTCACTTTATATTTTTTCTTCTGGGTAAAGGTATTGCTCATACTTGAAGGAGCTCTACTTACTGGAACCGTCATGTTCATCTTCAAACGGAGCTTTTTAATATTGTGTTATATAAAGAAGCTTCAGTCATTAAAACTAAACTTATGGTACTTGTATGGTTTGTATGCTGCCCTTTCACTGCTTTACAGCACCGTCATGTGAAACAGCACCTTTGTAAAGTATCAAAACCTAATTTCAGTGTAACCAAAATAGTCGGATATCAGCTTGGCATTAATATCTCAATACCTCTATAATAGTCTCCAGTGTGTTCTGAGAAGTTTTGCAAAAGATATTAGAAATATGGCCCAGATGCTCAAAGTGCTACGATTCGAGCTGAAAAAGCTTGCTGTAACTGGACTATTTATGTCAGCCAATTTCTGTGCTTGACCAGCAGACTTTTTCTTAATACTGAACAGGTGTCCACCATCACTTCTGTGATTCTTTGCCTGCCACCAGAAATGAGGCATATAAAAAAACTTCATAAATATAAAATCAATACAAGAACAGCACTTCTTTAACTGCTTCATAGAGCAGTTTTATTCTGTAATGTAAGCTTCTGCTTCTGTAAGTGTATGGTTATGTACTTTTTCTTGTCAGATCTAGATTATTTAAACCAATGTGACCCCAATCTAGCTTTCTTTGAGCTTAAGTAGTTTTTTTGCTTTTATTAGGAAAAGTCCTGTTGGGGTTTTTTTGGTCAGTATTAAGCTCTACTTCTCTATTTTCTTTCAGTGGGCAAGGGAGTCTGCTCCAGCCGTTCATTTACTATAGGTTTCTTACATTACGCTACTCCTCTCGGCGAAATCCATACTGTCGGTAAGCACTAAATTCATTTCGGAAGTTAATGTTTAACTGCATAGTGTCTAGGCATTCAGAAACTTTTCATTCTAAAATGAATGTGTAACTCATAATACTAAATCTGCAAATGGTAATTATAGAATGTGGAATACACCTGCATGCTTAAAGAACAGCTGGTTCAAGGTTACATTTATTTCGTGTAGCTGAACTTTACTGAAATGTACCACCATCCTTGAGTGGGAGCTTGCAGAACATGCTTGCGAAATTAAAACTATGCTTTGGGAGAAGAAAGTCTTTTAATTATTCTGCAACCATTTACCAGAAAGATATCCGTATTTTTAGATTCCAGGCCTATCTGAGGCTAAGTCTATACATGAACAGGCACTTCTGAACTTGTGTAATGTTGACAGAAAAAAAAAATCTGTGGATGATCTTGAAACATGTTCATTACCTCCTTTAGTTAAATTCGCAAGTCAGGTTAATTATAATTGAAATAGAACCATATTGATTTTGTTTGAAAGTTGGTAAAACCAATACTATTGCTTTAAACTTTGAAACCATAAATATTTCTATGAGGATTTGCTCACGTCAGTGCTTTCTCAGAACTTTTCTTCTGACAAGCGTTGCATAGTGTAAGATTTTGTGAACATGCTTTCCAGTCTGATCACTATCCAATTAGAAAATGGTTTGCTAAAGTACCAAGGACGTGGCTTTGGCTGCCGTGGTATGCAAAGACAGTTCTGAGAATCATAAAGTTAATCGCCTCCTATTCCCTACTATTTTGTAAGAAATCAATTGTTCCATCTTAGTACATGTGGTTTTTTTAACAAAAAAAAAAAATCTACGAAGGTGCTTTACTTCTTTGGTATCTAACAATAATTTAAGTTGTGCAATACTAAAACTAACTTTCAATAGAACTAGTTTATCCAAGATTTTCTGCTGGCATTTATGTAGTTCTAAGGGAAACTGGTGTTGTGGGTTTTATTTCTTGTGTCTGTCTTTTAATAGTTGCTTCTAGAGTGCAGGATTCTTGCATTCTTCTTGCCAGAAGTGCAAACACACAATTATCTCCCAACTCCTTACACTATTTCTGATAAAGCATTACTCTTTCTTTTTTTTTATAGTGGGATTTTTTTTTTTTGCTTGAAGGTGGAATTTTTCTGCTGTCATTATATCTGTCCTCAGCTGCAAGTTGCTGAACTAAAGTTAATTAAAATGTTAATGTTTAAAGGACAAGAATTCTGATGCTCTTGCAAGATACTGCAACACTGAGTTGATCTAAAGAACTTGCTAACCAGAGTGCGTGTGGGGTGTTGAGAAAAGTGAATGAAAAAGATAGATTTAGATGATACTTCTGATAAATGCTGTAGGATTTTAATACTCTCTTTAAATCTGATTTTTCAGGACTCTCTTCACTGAGCTGAGGATTGTTGTTGAACACTTAATAATGAAGCCCTCATGCCCTGTTTTTGTAAGAAGACTATGCCTCAGCAGCATTTCCTTTATAAGCAGATTGGCACCAACTGTTGCATAGCCAAATTTCAGGCACTTGTGTTTTGTGAACATTATGAGCAGCTGACACTTCTGCTGATGACTATGAATTCCTGGTTTTACACTGATCTCACTCCAGGCTGTATAAAAATGTGTATATGCTTTTCTTGGAGATAATATGAAATTTAGCATATCAAAAGCAAGTCATGGAAACTTAAAATTACTGTGCTGTATTGCTAATTGGTGAAAAAAAAGTAGCTGCATCCTGTCTAAAACATGTCCAGTCAGACAGAATTGTTTTTTCAGGAATCAAGGATTGTTTGAGGTCGATTAAAACTTTAAGAAGTCTGTGCTCAGTAGGTTTATGTTAGTTGGTACTATAGCTACTGTAGGATGTCTCCAGTGGATAGCAGTTGGTACACATACCTATGCAGTACGCTTTGGACAGTATTCTTCTGCTTACTAAATGTATCTGTAGAACCATTTTGTCTAAATTACTATACTCAATGTAAAAATATGGCCCACTTTGAATTTAACAAAAAGGATTAAAATATCAAGCTGGCATAGTTAACACCTTTTCTGAAGGAGAGGCTATTTTTATTAATATTACTTAAAAAGAACTCTTCCAAGTTTCTACCTTGTGACATAGCCTTACATTACGTTGTTGGAAGAAATTTCGACTCTGATCTCACAGAAAACTGTGCAGTTACCTTGTCACAAGAAGATGTTTTATGAAGCCAAATTGCTGACCTGTAGGCTTTTCAAACAAAGATGCGATGCTTAAGGAGAGGCAATTTTTATTAATATTACTTAAAAAGAACTCTTCCAAGTTTCTACCTTGTGACATAGCCTTACATTACGTTGTTGGAAGAAATTTCAAGACTCTGATCACAGAAAACTGTGCAGTTACCTTGTCACAAGAAGATGTTTTATGAAGCCAAATTGCTGACCTGTAGGCTTTTCAAACAAAGATGCGATGCTTAAACTTTTAACCATCTCTTAAGTGAACTAATCAATATAAATGAAGTAACTTTTGCAGAATCATTGCAGATTTGTTCTTGTGTCCACACAAATGTGAGACTGCAGTAATTCAAGCATGTCAGCTTTTTAGAAAATTAATCTGTAGCTAGCTGTATATAAATTGTTCTTCCAGTTTCTGAGACTCTCATTGTGATGGGAAATCTGCATAAAGGATTGCACCTGTTTAGGCATCTTCCGAAACAAATGAGTGTAGGATTTTTGGCATGAATCCATCTGACCTGAAGCCAGTGTCATGACTACAGAAGTGAATATTAAATTGAGTGCTGATTATGATTATGCATTCACCCAGCAGCTGAAAGGTAGGTCGTGGAAAAACACTATCTGTCTGAACACAACTTCGTTTTATAAATTCAAGGCAAGTATTTGCCTAATCTTCTGTAGTTAATATTCTAATTGCATAAAACTAAAGGGTTTTCATTGGCGTTTTGTAAACTTCTATAGCACTGTACTTAACTATTCTTCCTCAGTCAGAGAAATCTTATGTGAAACACTTTTGAAAACGGTCTTGAAGCAAAGTATGTTCCTGTAACTATTGAGTTACCTGGTTTGTGATGTGTATATCATTCCAACTTTCCAGTTGTATTAGTTTGTTAGATCAGAGCCATGTATTTATACACTTACTTCATTTTTTGCTCAACCTCTTGGTACCGATGAACCAATTGGTAATTGAATATGATATTCTTTGACTTCTTGTCTTGCTCTCTGAACATGATTAGCTATTTATAGAACACTTGCACACTGCAGAAGCAACTGCATGCAGTAATGCTCTACAGCTGTTAAAGACTTGCAACAAGATTCATTATATGTATATCCTGTAATTTGAGAATTTTATAAAAACTAAAATTTCTACTGCAATAAAAGAAGTGTTAAACGTAATTTGCTAGGCTCTTCAAGCTTATTTTCTCTCTAACAGAACATACTGATGCTTGAACCTGGAAGTTGAGCAGAATGCTGTCCTGTGTGTATGTGTGCATGTTCTTATATTCCCACTGCTGCTTCTGAATTGGGACATAATGTCTTGTGCATTTCTAAATTATTTTATAGGGAATTTTTGCCTTATAATGTGCAAAAACTTACGACCCTTTCCTTCAAAATTTAACCCAAGAATAAGCACTGCAACAATAATATCTAATCAGAGCAGAAATCTAGACCTACTTCTCACCATTTCAATTCTTCAGCACTGTTCTAGACCCTCTTTCATGTTACATGGTATATTTTTTTCGAGTGGTGACATCAGACTCTGTTCAGCTCTTTGCACCACTGTGATTTAAAAATTAATTTGGTCATGTAAGTTGGTCCCCCATACTGGGAGTGGAAGGCAAATAAATACTTTTGTAATTAGTGTAAGCAAAATAACATGTTAGTTCTGAGCAAATTTTTGTGGTCTAAGACTGCTGTTACGGGTGCAGTCTACTGTTCCTTTAATTGTATGCTGTCATTGAATTAGAGAAGAGTCTAAATTGGATCTGATGTATTGTAACTGAAGGATGCTAAGTCTTGACATCCAATTCTACGAATGGACGGGGAAGATTAAAAGGAGTAAGTGAATGAGATTTCAGTAAGTAGAGAGTTGGAAGACAGTGCCACGAAGTAGAGCTTATATGTGGATACTGAATTTCTTGTTAGCTCTTTCTATTAAGTCTTAAAAATGGATCGAGAGGAGGAAGATCTTTCATAAATGGGATTTGATTTGATTTGACTAGTAGTGTATTCTTGGCTTTGCAAGGAGTTGCTTGACAAATGAGGCCTGGGTTTTACTTTACTTGTGGCCTGGTAAAACTTACCTCTCTGATGTGCCAAGAAAACATGGAACAATGAGGTAAGAATAACTTCCAAGCAAAATAAATAGGGCAACTGACCTGCACTCTGCATCAGCTTTGATTTTTACTGTAGCCTTTAGGCTGCCTAAGTGATAACACCCAGTTTACTCAATGCTGGCAAAAACATTCTGTCCTTGTGCCTGCTACCTTACCACAGTTTGTGACTGCTTCTATACTAACGATTAAATTAAACACATGAAATGCTGGTTGTGTCCTGATAGCTTGAGATCTTTCTGGTGAAAAGAACTGTATGTTCATGCTGCTGTGCTGTCAACAGCTAGCTGTGATGCAGAGGCTGTAACAGAAGTCTGTGGCAGCAGAGAAATCTTGCAACTGACCATAAAATGCCCGCCAACCCCAACTGTGAAGCAGAGGAATTTTTGTCCTACTGAAAGGTTGTCTACCCAATGTGGTAACTGTTTCCACTGGTATAAATCACACTGGTCATTGTTTTTATTGTCTTAGCTTTCGTAAGTTAAAGTGCTGTTGCACAAATTCTGTGGGTAGACCTACCCCTTGCTGTGCACAAGCTTGCTGTAGAAGTGATGCTCCAGCATAAGACTTGTCTGTTCTCACCTGTAGATAAATAAAGCATCAGGACCCAGTAGGTCTGTTGGAGTAGCTAATGCCAGTTGGGACTTCTTACACAAAAAGTAATTCACTAATGCATCCCTCCTTTCCTTTATTGTCTTTAATTTTATACTTTTATTGTCATTTTTGTGCTGTCAGTTTTATGTTTTGCTCCCTCCTTTGATGGATGTTCAAGGAGAGCGATATTTGTTAATATTTTAAGTTAAACATTTTAAGGATTTTTTTTTAATATATTATGAGCCACTATTTGTTCCAGCAGTTTTTGAGCTGCTTACTATATACGTGATAGTACTGTCCAAACAAATAACATAGCTGGTTATTTTGTACAGTCTGTGCTGGACCTTTTTATTGTTAGGCACCTGTATTGCAACACTTGCTGTACAGATCCCTTGTAACTAAGGAAGTACAGTTCTTGCCCATTTTACAGACAGGAACTGAGGCATGGAAGGAAAGAGTGCTTGCCTGAGGCCATGTAAGAGCTCTGGCAGAGCAGCAAGTAGAAAAAAAGAGTTGGGCAAGAGTCCAGGGGGAACTGTGATTTGTTTCTACACCACATACGACTTCCTGGTCCCGTTTCCAAAATGATACTAACTGCTGCTTAAATGGTTTCAAAAATACTGTACTTTATGGTGCTCAGATTAAGGGTAGCAAAGACCATTGAGCTAGAACAGCATGTTCTTTTAAAGTGATGCCAAAAATTGATTCCCATGTGCAAGAGCTAGGCGTGGCCCCTGGTATCTTCATCTTTCTGGTGAGGAAAAGTAATGCAACAGAATAAGATCGCAAGCACTTATATGCTAGATGTTAGTGGGGTGTGCTGATCTGTTGTAACTGTCTGTAATTTTTAATTGCTGCAATGCAAGTATTTGTGGTTAAGCTATACTGAAATTGGTTAGTGTGTATTTGTAACTTTTAATGTGCTATAAGTTTCTTAAAATCATGGGAAGAGTCAGGCCTTGCTGTTTTAAATCGCCTTTTAAGGATAGAACCTCAAGCAATCCTTTATTTCAAAGATGCATTATCAGTATGCATAATGTAATTGAATTTAACCTTAAATGTGGATTCAAAAATATCTTTTTCATAAAATGTCAGCATTACTCATTAACTTCTCTGCAGAAGCTAGCTCTGTGATAATAGCAGGTACTGTGCAGGTAGGGGAGTTTCATTGCTTAGTTCCGTGCCATCCAGATGGTACAAACTTCTAAAATGAATTGAAAAAATTCATCTTTTACTTGTATTCAAGGACTGAGGCACAAAATGCTAATGTAAGGGCTCAGAGGGGAAATATAGTTCTCCTGCATATTTGAGAAAATGTGAAGCCCTTTCAAGAAAATCTAATAAACATAATAATCACAGGCTGCTGACACTAAGGAAAAAGCACCTCATTCGCTCTTTCTTTTATGCAGCGATTTACTGGTCCCTACTGATTTTCAAATTGGATCACTGCAGTAAATTATCCATGCCAGTACCTGTGAAAGAAAGCACTGGGATCCATATTTGTTTAGTGCTGTGCTTAAATCAGCAAGAATGATAGATTTGATGGTATGAAATTGGAAATATCAAGGGCTTTTCTCAGTGAACGAGCGAGTATCTCCATTTGTAATTTATTGTGACCCTTTTTCACTGTATGTGCTTTGTATGTCAAATATTTATTTTGAAACAAATTAAATTGTTTTCTGTA